GTTAGTTCATTAACAACCCTATTTGCTGGCAATAAGGTAGAGGACAGGAAACGAGGAATCAATGCATAGAATGTGAGTTTTTGGTAGCACTAGAAGAACTTTTTTTTTTTTTTTTTTGCTTGTGAGGCTCTGTGGCAGCAGTAATAGGCTTGAGAAAGTAGAGCAGGGAAGAAAGAAGATTATAGGAAACAAGACAAGGAATCTTTGCTGAGAAGAAGATTATAGGAAACAAGACAAGGAATCTTTGCTGAGAGCATAATGTGGGGTTGTGGCAGCACAAAAGGAATTGAAGGTGGGTTGGTTCACAAAATGGAAGGGAAGTGAATTGCCGAATGAGGAAGGACAAATGTGCGTCGAATGAAAGTGAAAGGTTGGTTTATGGTCCAAACTATAGGGGGGGGGGGGGGAAAGCATAATTCACGGCTCTCTTCACATCCCGCAATATGAAGCAACCAAAGCAAAGCAAAACATCACTAGCAGCCAGCCGGCACAGTAATTGTTTGGTGAACTTACATGTCGCCCGGTCCCCGAATCTGGCGATGGTGATTACAACACTCTTTGCTTACAGTTTCTATAACAGTCCGATAGGACATTGAGCGTCCCGTGTTCGTTGAATGAATGCGCGACATTTTATTTACAAAATTGTCACCATATTATTCAATGATCACGAAGTTGTTGACGTCTGATCGGATAGTTGTGATCGTTGTGTGGCACCTTAGTCAAATTGTCCTAAACCCTACTCCACAACTTTATTTCTTCTTCTTTTCTTTTGAAGAGATATGATAACTTGCAACTGTCTCGTTTTAAAAACACTAGTAAAAGACATGATGATCGTCCCGAGCAATAAAGATAAGAAGACCGGCCGTTTCGTCACACCCTCGCAGTTACAAGCATTGTTGAGATCGCGAGGATGGACAAAAATTTAGCTAAATATGCTCCTAATGATATTCCTCTAGAGCATTTGCAATTTATTCTACCGAGATATGCTAAGAAGAAGAAGAAAAAATAATCATATACGATCAAACCTCGTCACGCTAATCTCCAACCCACAGTAAGTCAAATGAAGTTATCTCTAGCCTAGACATAGCGAGAGCTTTACGCTGTCACTCTACCGACGCCCTAACTGATTAACCACTCTTGATCCCGCCGTAAATTATATACTAAACCCTACAGGCCGCAAAAATCCACCGAAGGCGGTCTCAAGGCAAAAGATTCACCAATCATATAATCATCCAATGTTATTGAAAGTTGAAACTAGCGAATAACAACCTCGATCATAATCTCCTTCAATAACAAAACACAGACCATCCCGAACCGCAAGTAACTCATCGAGGGCATAAAGAATCCCAAGACAAACTCCCAGTTTGTGTGTGTAGCAAACGCAATACTACAGAGGTCCCATAATACATCACTCAATGAAACTGTGGGCTCTGGTTTTTTGTTGGTTGGGTCTAGTCAATGTGACCGTTCCATGGGCTGCGGGACAGGATTTGATGGCTTCCATTTTTGCTATATTGGCATTGCAATATTGCATCACTGTTGATTTCTTTCTTCCTCCCAACATTTATTTGCCTTCTTTTCTTCCCCTGTGAATAATTTCCGTTTCAAAATGGAAAGTTTCATTATTTGTCCAAACGAACCTCTTCAAATATTGAATTTGTCGTTTCCCCCTTCAATTCCTTTGTTGGGTTTTGTCCACAAAGTTGATGGCAGCATGATGGCCTCTCCTCTCTTTTTTCCCCCTTCCAACCCACAAAGTTGAAAAAGATCAATAATGGTGAGAACATTGGTAAGAAGAAACTAAGTTTGATTCCTCCTCAAAATCCCCCACTTAAGAGCTAATTACATCATTGCTAATTTTCATGCATTTGTGGTCCACCCTTCATTTCCCCCACTTCCATTACCAGAATAATTTATTTAACTAACTACTTGTCGGTAGAAATATAATTTGTTTCAATTAACTACGACTCTATAAGTACTCTTTACTTTAATTTATTTTTTTTGTTAAAAGACAATCTGACTACTATGCTAACATACATATTTGTTAGTACATGCTCACATGACCCAAATTATGAATGTAGCGGAGAAAAACGAGTAATATGAAATTTTTTGTTGGAACCAAATGACTCATTTTCCCCCATTTGCTAACTAGCTATTTGACACTAGTTTATGCCTAGGGTTGATTTAGTACCAAATTACTCATAGAAAAGCCTCAAGCAAAGGGCCCCTAGATTCCCAAACACCTAGGTCCCTTCGATCACTAGCTCACACTTGCCCTTCTCCATAACCCAATACACTGAAAAAACAATAGTAGAACCCAAAGGAAGTTAAACTCTCTGTGCAAAAATTGTAATGGTCCTCCACTCCCACTTCCACATGATTATGACACTCATATGATCAATCTTGGTGAAAAGATGGGGTAATCATTGATCCTTAATCAAAGTTCAATGGCTTGTGGTAATGGTAAATTGTAGGCAAGGCAACAAAAAGAATCTAGCTCCTAGGCTTCAAGGTAGTGATTTTTAGGACGATCTTTTTTTTTCTTAGTCAACGATAGAAGTGATTTAACTTATCATTGCAGACCACAATACATATATTTAAGAACTCAATGAATATCTAGTAAATTCACAATAATAAATTATTCGAATTTAGAATTCTTCATGTGCCTGTAAAGATATTGTACTTAGAACGATAGGATGCAATACTTAAAAATACATTGTAACAACCCTCTTATTTTACTAATGGAAGACCTAATGATAAATGATGGAAGTGAGTATAAGGAGGAAGCCTCCTCTTCAATAATATCCTCCTTAGTGAAGGATCACAAAGTTCCGAGTTGAGCATGCCATATTGTTGAGTAGAAGCCACTAACCTAAAATTGAGTGTAATGTCTATTTTTTATCCAAACCTTTTTCAAATTCTTTTATATTATCCAAATTTATCGAAATACTAAGAATTAGTCAAATGTTGAATTTCAATTAGCAATTTTGTTAGTAATATTGACTTGACAACATGATACTGAAGACACATGAATGTCAACATTCCAAAATTTTAGTATTTTAAATAAGAAAAAAGTTACAATTATTAACGATGACATAAAAAAGCTAATATTTTGATGCATTACGAAAAATTTGGCTAAATAATAGCATTTTAATAGGTTTAAATACTATAAAAGAATCTGAAAAATGTTTGGATAAAAAATAGACATTACCCTAAAATTAATGTTAAGATCTTAGTTTAAAGTTGGCTGAAACTCAATGTAACTTGTATATAAATAAACCGTTTTCCGTGACAGAGTCAAAAAAAATTTACAATAGATGTCTCTCAACATAATATATTACGAAATATTTATGTAATGCAACTCATCTTCTGTTTACAAATACAAGTTTAATTTTCATAAACAACCCACAAAAAATTATGTATTTTGTGAGAAATGTCAAACAAATTTATCGTGTACACTTTGAAAAAAGTCTACTTCACTATTTCTCTTTTGTGAACTTATCTTATATTTGAATGTAAACTTATTCATGATGTAACTCAAATTGTAGCTTCTCTTTCAATAGAGTCGTTAAAGATAGTATAAGTTTCAAATTTTCTCCAAAATTTAAGCATTATTTAAATTTGGGGTTTTGATTTTAAACATTTAGATGGTAATGTCAATAGTATTAACACCTAATAAATTTCCCTCAAAGAAACTTGTCACTAGCTTTTCATAGATAAGCTCGAGCTATTACCAAATACTTGTTTTTTATATTCTTCTTATGAATTCGAAATTCTTCAAATAATACTTTCGTAATTTGATTAATTTAAATATATTATATCTCGGTTTTCTTAGGCCAGTCCAATAACTCAGCCCACTACTTTTTATCATTAACGTTGATGATATCAAATGTACAGCTAGCACTAATTACGGTCCAATGTGATTTGAGGATCACCAAAATTTTGTTAGTAAGAGCTTCCCCACTTTGCTAATTGCATCATCATTTTACCCTTTTGAGGTATAATAATAGGAACACCTTCGATGAATTTTCCTTTCCTTTTTCCCCCTAGAATCCTAATTCCATAATTATTTCATTATTTCTAGTTCTCTTTTACAATTCTCGCCGGATTAAAAAAGTTGATATTCTGTGTTTGTTTGTGCTCAGCAGCTTGTTTTACCACTCAAAGTCGCACTGTTCATTTCGGCAAACAAAGAGCCAAAATGAAGCCAACTTGCTTCCCCTCAGTGCTCGAATTGAACCAATGTGCTCAAAAGCTTCTGCTTTCTTCATTCCTTCCTGCCAATAATGTTTAGCTACTTCCCTTATAAATTATAATGCACTCAATAATGCCAAAGTAGATTCCATCCACATTTTGAACAATAGAAGGAGGCCCTAAATGATTTTGTCCACTTTCTCTTATTGCCAGGAAGGGAGAAACCTAAATTGCATCACATTTTAGTCATTTCATCAAATTACTCTCGTGATTGGTTGATTGAGTAATGTACCTATTCTTCATTTAAGTTAATGTACCTATTCTTTATTTAGGTCACGGGTTTAGAAGATTGGCTTTTTGGTTCACGACACTTGACGCTATTTTAAGTCGGTTTGATTCGAATAAAATGGCAAGAGTGATGTATCACCAATTCTTAGAAAATTAGGAGTTTAGCTGATTTCTGGCGACCTATCTATTTAATTCCACAAAATTTTAGTAGATTTAGTAACCTCCCACAAGTTTCAATGACGATCCTTCAATTGACTTTCACTAGACTAAAGAAACTTCTAACATGTGAGAGATCGAGGTATAAAGCAACTAATTTATATCTATTCACGAAAAAATTTAGTAAAATCCAACAAACTCTATTTTATATATAACTATCTAATGAAAGACCTAACCATGTCGAAATGAGTTAAGGAAGTGGGACATATTTGAGCTAGATCTTTGTTCTTTTTTTTATGGTGGATTTAGCCCTTAAATTATTGCATGTTTGTTTCCCCAGTCAAGGAATCTAAGAATGAAAATCAGTGGAAAAGTGACATATTTTTCCATATTAGTATCAACCAACCACCAAACTTTTGACAAAAGGGTAGTTCCTTATGATCATTGCTTAGGACCCACCATAGAAACATACAATGTACAAAAGTCTGCAACTTTACTTACTACTTTGCTAATGCTAATTCAAAAGTTGATAACAAAGTTCCACACTATCTACTTAATAATACATTTAGCTAATTCATAAGCTAGTTAATGATCTTGGCAAAATCCAGGGTCTTCTTGCCTTGCAACTTGCTAGTGACATAGTGCTTGCTGTATTCTCCATGATTGTACCTTCTGTAAGTGCAAGGGTGATTGATCTCATCCACCATTTCTGGCAATGGTCCTATCTCAACCTCATAGCTAGGAGCATAGAATGTGACAATTGAAAGCCTATCTTTCTCCTTGTGGGTCAGTGCCCTATGCTCCACGCTCTTGTATTTCCCATTCGTTAGTACCTGTCGTTCCATTCAAACGAAGTTAGAAGTGGAAGAACAACCAGGACAATTTGTAACATTCGGTCGGTAATAAATCTATCACAATAACTCGAACTTCAAACTGCATTAGCATCTCATATCAAATCTTACTTCCAAGGTGTCCCCAATGTTGATGACCAGAGCATTAGGGACTGGCTGAACAGACACCCACTTGGTGTCCTTGAGGATTTGGAGACCAACTGAGCTGCCCTTCCCTTGCTGGAGAACTGTTAGGGCACTCCCATCAGAATGTGGGCTGAGGCCCAAAACCAGGTCAGGCCTTGAACATGGTGGGTAGTAGTTCATCCTTATGGCTTGCACTCCCACTCCAAACATCTCATTGAAGGTTCCTTCTTTCAGGCCAAGAGTTATGGCTATGGAGTTCAGTAGGTTCTGGCACAGCTTCCTCACTTCTCTTGAATAATCATCAACAGTTCCACTGCACCCAAAATATAAGGACAGGTGGATGTTAGTTAAGGTTCTAAGAAATCGTTTACTATGGACGCCACAAATCGTTAAATATTGTAAATCAATATCACCAAAATGATTTCGTTTCCCTTTATCGGAAAACATATTCTCAAAAGTATACTTTTTTATTGCATAATAAACTTGTATCCCATAAAGTCTAGCAACACCTCTTCATAACTTGAGTTGGAAAAAAAAAAGGAAAAACACCCATATAGTTCCACTTCAACATAGTGCTATATGAACAGTAAAAGAAAGAGGGAAAAGGGTAAGACACCAATCATTTCATAGTTACCTGAACTTGGGTGGATTTTTGGGCCATAGCTTTGGGTTCCTTATAAACTGGGGCTCAACTCCAAGAGCAAACATGTTGCACCAATCAAGCTTTTGGTCCTCAGAGAACACAAATGCCTGACCATACCCTTGAACTGTCCCTGCCACCATGGGATACCTCTGCTTCTCCTCCAGTGGAAGCATGAAGAACTCCTTAGCCACCTCTTCTATCCCTTCAACTAAGCTCAAATCGATCCCATGGTTGACTACCTGATCGAGAAGCGAGAGATTTCGTGAGAATTTTCCGGGTTCATTACCAAAAAAAGACAATTAGGAACGAAATGGTTGTATTAACGTACCTGGAAAAATCCCCAATCCTGACAAGCTCTCTTGAGCTTCAGAATCTCTGCTCTCCACGAACCTTCATCTTCATCCACTTTCATGAGTTTGGAGAAATCGATGATGGGGACTTCATAACTATCGTGATCGAGAACAGCACAAGCTGTTGGAAAACGGTTAGCGGATTGAAGTGTTGGCCTCTCGGTTGCATCTCTCACGAATCTCTCGGGAACCAGGGTTGGCTTAGCCTTCCTTAGCTCTTGAACATCATCGATATGGCCGGTATTGATTTGGGAAATGGGCACAGGAGACATTATTGGACAATGAGGGTGAGATTCAAAGATGAAGAAAGGGAGAGAAAGGGAAAATATCAAGAGGGTTCTAATGGTTGGGAATTTGGTGATATCAATCATGTACACAAGCTATGGTATTTATAGGGATTCTGAGGGCTTTTCTATTGGAAGTTCTGCAATTATTTATTTGTCTATTTTTTTCAAACACAAACATATTGCCCAACATTATTATGTAGCCGTGGTGTGTTAGGCAAGTGGATGCATTATATGGGTGTTGGAGAGGGACCCATAGCATGGACTTTACAGTTTGCAAGAGTTCCATACAAATTTGTACAAACATGAACAAACAGGGTTTAGGGTTTTACTAAAAAAAATTCAAGCACCCTTTCTTGAATAAAAAATCATTGAGGTTATGGTGAAAAATGACATTACGAAGGTAAAGTAATTCTTGATACGGTGTAAGAGTATTTGATCGAAAGTTGGTATCTAACTAACTCTCAATATCGTAGTCATAAATGGGGTCAAGTGGTTTAGGAAATGTCTTGTGAGTTGTGACACCCCATAAATTTTGAAATAGCACGATTGACCTTATATGGTAGTGTTAAGGATCTAAGCACCAAGTCTCCAAGTCAATAAAATATGTTTACGAACTAAATTGCAATTCATTTTTTTTATCAAAGTAATTCTATAAATTAGATTAATTATCATTTTAACGTTAAAATCAAACCCCAAATTTTGAAATACCTAAATCCCTAATCAAATTTGAAGCTAATGTTGACTTTATTGGTTCCGGTTGCATGTGTTGACATGGTAGCTAGTTACATTTTTTAGCTACATCATGAATTAGTTTATGGTCGAATATTTGATCAATTCGTAAATGAGATGTATTAAAATAGGCTTGTTTCAAAGTGTAAATGAAAATTTTGTTTGACATTTCTTTCAAAACATTAAAACATTTTGGGTTTTTTAATGAAAATGAAAATAGTATTTGTTAAATTCTTTTAATGAATTGTACTGCATAGACATTTCATAATAAGTTCTTATATTCGGTAAAGGGAAATCTATTGTTCGATTTACTTACTCCGCTACTGATCACGGTTGATTTAAGCATAATTCATAGTGGTTTTTGCAAACTAAAACTTGAGAAAATAATTTTAAAAAATTAAAAATTATATTTAATTTGTTTCCGATAATTCTGTTCAATAATTTCCACTAAACCGTAGGGCATGCTCAATTTGGACCTCTCTGTGAAATGAAGAAGAAAATAGTTTGGGGAAAACTCAAAGAATGTGTCTCATTCTCATATAGCTAAAATGTGAACATAAGGGGTTTAGCATGGGAAAAATTATATGATAGGGTAGAAATTTTGCAGCTTTATCATGGCACTGTCGGCTGTTCTGTAGACCATTTTCAGTCCAAGTGTTGTTTTCATCCTTCACCAAGAAGCCTATTATTGAAGAGGGAGGCTTCCTTCTAGTACTCACTTCCATCTTCTTCTTTATTTTTTTAACATTCACTTCTATCTTTAATCATTAGATGCTCGCTTAGTAATATGGGGATTGTATTGATGCATTTTTAAGCTCTTTTCATATTGCCAATTGTTCTAGGTAAATTCTTTTTACAACTTAATTCACAAAGAATTAAAAAACAGAAATCACACATTCTCATAAATTTACAGAATATTCACTTTAAGTCTGAGACTATCTTAAACATAAATGTTATAGTCCGGCAGTTATAAGTTGAATCAGTTCCATCACTGAAAAAGAAAAAAAAAACTCTAAAATCACTTCCTTGAAACCCTAGGAGCTAGATTATCTTTTTTGTTGCCTATGTCAAGAACCAGTTGATCCCAATAACTCGAGTTATTGGGAGAGGTTCGATCGTGGATCATATATCATTTACTAACACACCCCGTCAAACGAAAGCCACAATATATGGGCTTGAAGTTTGCATAGGCATCAGACACCATGTGCTTAACAGAAACAAATGGGGGTCACCGGGATTCGAACAGAAGACATCTCCGTCACAGAAAGCTCTGATACTATGTCAAGAACCAATTGATCTCAATAACTCGAGTTATTGGGAGAGATTCGATCATGGATCATATATCATTTACTAACAGCCTAGCCTACAACTTACCATTCCCACACTCCATTTAACTTAATCCATTGAACTTTGATTATGGATCAATGATTACCCCATCTTTCCACCAAGATTTGACCATATGAGTGTCACAAATCATGTGGAAGTGGAGGGTGAAAAGTGAAACCCCATTACAGGTTTTTACAAAGAGAGTTTTAACCTTGGTATAATTCCCTCAATTTCCTTTGGGTTCTACTACTGTATTGGTGATCCTGGAGAAGGTGCAAGTGTGAGCTAGTGATTGAAGGGACAATGGTGCTTGGGAATATAGAAAAGCTAAAAGCTTGGATACTTTCCTTTTCCTGAAAGAGTGTGAGATCTTCTATTAAGTACAAAACCACTTGCCTGTTGTTTTTTGACTCCATAATGGAGAGATTCATGGAGGTGATGGGAAGGTCCAGCTCCAATAATGTGTGAATGTGCTCTCTAGTGACAAGTGCCCTTAAGAGAAGACCAACTTTTGGGACAATTTGTGAAGGAAAATGGCCTTAGAGTACGGTTGTCCATTCATTTTTTTCAGTTTCTAGTGTCTTTCCTTTTCCTCTCTATAGTTTGTGTTCTTTCACAAGTCTATCTCATCTTGCATCTCCTCCTCTTGTTGTGTTTGACTTCATTACTACTACTAGCTAGTTACCAATAATGTATCTAGTTGGGATTGTGGAATTTTTACCAAAAAAGCACCATCAAAGTTGAATAGATGAGTCGTCATTGTCACCCGATTTGAACAAAGTTCTCACTTATTGAGTTTGATTATGTCTTTGATCTTAGAAACCTATACGTTATTTGAGTTGACAATAAATTTAGAGACTTATTAATAAGTTCGATATTATCTCTTATTTAAAAACAAAACTCTTCTTATGAAGCACAATTACAACTTTAAACTTTCAAACTTTAGAACTCAATTAAATTAAAAAGTTCCTTACTATCTTTACCGATTTGCTATTACTTTCCCTTAAATGCTTTGATTTAATTCAATTTTAATCAGTAATTTCGCTAATTTCTATTAATGTTTGTTTGGTTTCTGATTCTTGTTTTTTTTTTTTTTTTTGCATTAAAAGGAGGCCAAGGAACTGATTCTTGTTGCTTTACAAAGGGGGAAAAGATAATTAGAGAAGTAAACATGCTTTTAATTTTTATATTTCATAGTGAATATAGAAAACAGAAACTTGAATGAATAATAAACGCTCATTTAAGAATCTCAATGGGTTGGGCTAATAGAATTGTGCGAACGAGAACATCCATTACACTCTAGATTCGAATCTTGGACAAACAACCAATGAAAAAAAAAAAACACTCACTTAGAAATTAGAATGATTATTTCAAAGAAAAAAATAAAGAAGACAGGAGAGGAGATTGCCTCATTGCCAATAAATGAGTTCTCTTGGGGGCTCATCACAGGAAGGCCGAAGTTCGGCCCAAAATAGAAAAATGACGGGCTTACTAAGGCCCAACTGACATATATTCGAAAAAGGGCTTTCCGTTCAGAGATTCGTTCCCGCGGGCAAATGAAGTGGACGTTTAACCGAAACTTCCGATTCCTTGGCTCGCAGCTTTCCCGCCAAGAGGAATCTCCATCGTCCCACCTCAATCTCATTCAGCAGCTCCGGAACTGCAACGATGTCCGATCAGTATCCTCCGTTCACTGCAGCTTCTTCAAATCTGGGCTTTCAAAAAGCGACACTTTTGCGGCCAACCATCTCGTCAATGGCTACGTCAGGCTCCGGGAAATCAGCCTTGCGCACCGCCTGTTCGACGAAATGCCTGAACCAAATGTCGTCTCTTGGACCTCCCTGATGGCTGGCTATGTGGTTGCCGGTCAAGCCGGGCTCGCTCTGGGAATGTACGTGAAGATGCTGGAGACGTCAGTTAAGCCGAATGACTTCACTGTTTCCACGGTGGTCAAAGCCTGTTCGATTCTGGCAGAGCTCGAAGCCGGGAAGAAGATCCACGCCCATGCTGAAGTCATGGGGTACGGAACCGACCTTGTGGTATGCTCTTCGTTGGTTTGCATGTATGGGTACTGCAACGATGTTAATGGGGCCAGGTCGGTTTTCGATTCCATGGATCACAGGAACATTGTTACCTGGACTTCAATGATAGCGGCCTATGCACAGAATGGCAGAGGAAGTGAAGCTCTTGAAGTTTTCAGGCTTTTCAATTCCATGGTGAGGGTACGTGCAAACGATTTCATGTTGGCAAGTGTGATCAGTGCTTGCTCGAGCTTGGGGAAGCTTGTTGCAGGGAGAGCATCGCATGGAGCAGTGATTCGAGGTGGGCATGAGGTAAACGATGTTGTCACGAGTACACTTGTCGATATGTATGGCAAAAGTGGATGCTTTGATTACTCATGGAAGATTTTCAAGAGAATCCCTAACCCTTCTGTGGTGGAGTACACTTCGATCATAGTTGGTGCTTCCAAGTATGGACTTGGGAAGTTATCAATCGAACTCTTCGAAGAGATGGTCGAGAGAGGGGTCAATCCAAATGATGTCACATTTGTTGGAGTTTTGCACGGATGCAGCCATTCTGGTCTTGTGGACGAAGGCCTAGGGTTTCTGAACTCCATGCTCGAGAAGCATGGAGTAGAACCCGAGGCAAAGCATTATACCTGTGTAGTGGACATGTACTGTCGAGTGGGTCGTCTCGATGAGGCTCACAAGCTAGCCAAGTCGATCCACGTGGAAAACCCGGCGGAGGGGGCTCTCCTTTGGGGCACCCTGCTATCAGCCAGCAGGCTCCATGGCCGGGTGGACATTGCTCAGGAAGCTAGCAGGCGATTGATCGAGTCCAACCAACAGGTGGCAGGCGCATACGTGACGTTGTCAAATGCATGTGCATCGACAGGAGAATGGGAGATCGCTCATGGTTTGAGGTCCCAGATGAAGCAAGCTGGCGTAGTGAAGGATCCTGGGTGCAGCTGGGTCGAGATTCGTGATTCCACATTCGTGTTTCACGCAGGTGATCTTTCGTTCGAGAGAGGGGAGGATGTATTGAGACTGCTGAGAGAGTTGGAAGGCAGGATGAAGGAGAGAGGGTACGCGGGAGGGAGTCTCGGTTTGGTCTTCTTTGAGGTGGAACAGGAGGCCAAGGAAGAGATTGTGAGCCTCCATAGTGAGAGGCTGGCTCTGGCCTTTGCTCTGATTGTGATACCTAAAGGGATCACGATTAGGGTTATGAAGAACTTGAGGATGTGCAAGGATTGTCATGAAGCGTTCAAGGCGATCAGTGGAATTGTAGAGAGAGATTTCATTGTGCGAGATGTCAACAGGTTTCACCATTTTAGGGATGGATCTTGCAGTTGTGGGGATTTTTGGTAAAACGATGGAATTTGCTTACATTTCTCTCGCTGGTTTCTTTTCCTACACATGAGAAGTAATTCATTACTAGGAGTGGAATCAACAAGATAGAAGGCAAGAAAGAGGTCTGTCGCCGGTTTCCATTGAGTAAAAATGCTTTGTGAGCCAGTTTCGCTGGTCTTGCTGGGACAAACAGAACAGAACTTTACAACATTCTGCAACTTGGAGAGTCGGACAGGCATGATCTCTGAGCTTGTTGCCTTGGATGGGCTCGAGTGTGATAAGCCCTCGATGAGCTTAACTCAGAATCACGCAGCGATGAATCAAAAGATGGACGAAATTGGGATGAAACTTGATGGAATTAACGAACTAAACCAGCAACTTCAACACGAAAGGGGAAGAGGCTAATCTAGGTAGAACTACCACGAGATCAAGGGTGATTATCCTGATCTCTAGGTCTGCAATTCTCAGCCAAACAACCAAGAACCAAAAGCTCGCAAGCTGGAAAACTCCTCGGAGTATTTTCGATTAAACTTCAACGTACCTTGTTACAACTCAATGCTCGAATATTTATAACCAAGAAACCTAATTACAATCCTAAACAAACAAGGCAACCATTCTGACTCAAACAAGGAAAAAGAAAACGTTTAACAATCAAAACTTGCATCCTAAGTAACTAACTTCTCCCTTAAGTAAACTGTTCCAAAACAGCCTTTGATGTCAACTTGGTGGGTCTGGAAATCAGTCTTCTGGGTTGAGTCGAGCTCACCCAATTCCTTCCCTTGGTTTAAAAAGTCTTGCTGTTTCATTTCCAACTCCAAGCTCCAGCTGGACATGCTCCAATCGTCGTGAATCCAAGCTCAAAGTTGGTATCAAAAACTGTCTTCCTGCCTTAGCCAAAAACTGGCAGATTCCAGAATGCATGATAGGGTTTTGGTGGCTTTGGAAAACAACCCTCCTGACCTTATTTCCACAAACCAAATGCATCAAACTATAAACAAACATCCAAGGTTCAAATTGAGACCCTAACCTTGCATTTCCAGTGAATGGTTGGAGAGATACGGCCTTCCAAAGTACCCTTCCAAAAACTGTCTCAACACTTAAGAAAATTCCAGCCTTGTTCGTATTAACTTGAACCGATCTTTGAACGATTGGTTTGAGATGATTCAAGTGTGGAATTGAGATCATATCAAGCCCCCCCTGTTGAAAAAGCTTTGTCCTCAAAGCTTGGGCCTTCTTCTCCTCGAAAGACCTACAAAATTGATCCCAAACTGGATCCGAAAAAGGCTGCTCATACAAAGGTCTGACCTGAAAATTTTCAGCTTCCGGCGACGTCGTGTTTCCCGGCGAGGTCTCCAAATTTGGGCGTTTCCCTTCTAGGCCTCCTCGATCCAATTCGTGGCTCAAGATCGACTCTTCCTGAACCCAAGAACCAACTCCAGCTACTCCTGTGCGTCGAATTTGCACAAATCGACGCCAGTTAGGAATTCCGATTTTCCCGCCGTCGGAATGTTTGAATTCCCCAGAATCCGGCGACACGAACCCAGATTCCGGCGACCCCAACTCGAAATTGGGTACTTTTGCTCTCGACCTCTCCTCGTCCAATTGATTGTTCCGAGAGCTTCCTGGGACGATTTCGAGCTTGCCCACGTCCGCCAATAGCTTCGAATCACACCAGAACTCCCCAACCAATTCCCCCACTTTTCCTTCCTCGTTCGTCACCTTCGGAGGCAAAATTGGGCCTTTGGGATTCGCCGATTGAGCTTGTTTTGGCGGGATTTCTTCGACTTGCCACGTTTCTGGGCAAATTTGGAACGTGTCGGCGGAGTCCCCTCGTTCCCTCACTTCCCCAGCTACTCCACCCAATTCGGTGGGATTCAGGGCGGCTGGAAAACAGAGCCGCTGAACTCTGCTTCTTCGCGGAACGGTCCCGCCAGCGAGGACAGTCAACAGGTACCGTCGAGCCACCAGAATAGAACCGGCTTCGTCCACTGAGGGAGAGCTACTTGATTCACCCTTTCTCGATGCCCGACTCCTCGCCATGTGTCGCTGGTCCTCTCGAACTTCGTCCAGCGTCAAAGGTTTGAGTATCATCTTTTGGCCGCCGTGCTCAAAGGTGTAGACGTTCGTTCGACCATGATGGGATGCTTTTCGGTCGAACTGCCAAGGCCTTCCCAAGACCAAGTGGGCTGCCTGCATCGGGATCACGTCGAATAGCAACTCGTCGTGGTATTTTCCGATTGAGAAGGAAATTTTCACCTGCTTGTTTACCTTCATTGCAGCATGATCACTGAGCCAATGCAGGGAATACGGTTCAGCCCTGGGAGTCGTGGCTAATCCGAGTCTTTTTACGACGTCAAGACTTGCCACATTCGCACAACTTCCACCATCTATAATTACGGACAAGTTCTTCCCGTTAACCTGACACCGAGTGTGAAAGAGATTGTTCCTTTGGTCCACTTCAGATGGCTCCTGTTCAAGGCTTGTCATTGTTCGCTGAATTACGAACAACGGTCCCTTATCCGCCTCCATCTCTTCTCCTTCTAACTCGCCATTTGATTGCTCCTTAGGCTCCTCTTCGTCTTCGGAACAATACTGACCATCTCGGAGTACCATTATCTTCTGGTTAGCACACTGATGAGATTTGTGCCCATAACCATGGCACTTAAAGCAACGAATTGTGCTACTGGAGCTATTCGTCTTAGCTGGAAGAGTTGTCGTAGTGTTCCTAGGCATTGTTCGAGGGGTTTCAGGTGTCAATTCAGGTTCTATACTTGACTTGGAAGTGTTACCTGCTGAAGGGAACCTCTTGCCAGACCCCTGTTGTTTCAATTGCTTTTCCACCTTTGCGGCCAGCTGAACAACTTCTTCAATTTCCACAAATGGGAAGAGCTCGACTTGGTTTTTGATTTCCCTTTGAAGGCCTTGTAAAAACCTGCTGATCGTAGCTTCCTTGTCTTCCCTAATGTCAGCTCGGATCATCAGGAGATCCATCTCTCGGTAATACTCTTCAACACTCCGGCTTCCTTGACGAAGCAACTGCAGAGTGTCGTGGAGGTCGCGTTGATAGTACGAGGGCACAAACCGGTCCCTCATCAAGCTCCTCAACTCCAGCCAGGTCGCTATGGGTGGAAGTCCATTTTGCCTTCGCTTGATGCGAATTTGTTCCCACCATGCCGCCGCGTAACCTTCAAACTCGTAAGACACAAGCTTGATTTTCTGCTCGTCGGTGTAATTATGACAATCGAAGAACAGAAGCACCTTCCGTTCCCAATCCAGATAGTCAGAAGGATTGAGGCTACCCTGAAACGAAGGGATGCTCAACTTAATTCCACGGAGCTCGTCAAGAACCCCTGTTTCCGGCGGGCGTCTATCGTGATGATGAAACTCACGATTCCGTCCACGATGACCATCTCCAGCGAGGATCAACTGGCGCTCCAGATTCTGAATTCGTGCATTCAGAGCTTCGGGGCTTTGATCGTCTCCCTGTACTGTTTCCTGCTTCGTCGGCGTCTTGGGATCGGTCGTCGTTGTCGCCGGCGTCGACTTCAACTCCGCTAACTGCTTGTTGATGTTGTCGAACTGCACTTGGAACGTGGCGTTCATCTGCGCCATTATTGTTTGCAGCAGCTCCGTCGTATTGATTTGCTCCGCCATAGCAACTTCTTGGATGTCGATCTCCTCGTCGCAATCAGAGTCGGATTCCTGCTCTGTTTCTTTGCGCAAATCAATTGGGTCTTTCCTCCTTGTTCGAGCTGCAACAGGACGAGTGTCCTCCTGCTTCTTCTTCGTCTTGGCCACTGATTTGAACCAGGCGATGATGCCACTTGATAAGCCCTCGATGAGCTTAACTCAGAATCACGCAGCGATGAATCAAAAGATGGATGAAATTGGGATGAAACTTGATGGAATTAACGAACTAAACCAGCAACTTCAACACGAAAGGGGAAGAGGCTAATCTAGGTAGAACTACCACGAGATCAAGGGTGATTATCCTGATCTCTAGGTCTGCAATTCTCAGCCAAACAACCAAGAACCAAAAGCTCGCAAGCTGGAAAACTCCTCGGAGTATTTTCGATTAAACTTCAACGTACCTTGTTACAACTCAATGCTCGAATATTTATAACCAAGAAACCTAATTACAATCCTAAACAAACAAGGCAACCATTCTGACTCAAACAAGGAAAAAGAAAACGTTTAACAATCAAAACTTGCATCCTAAGTAACTAACTTCTCCCTTAAGTAAACTGTTCCAAAACAGCCTTTGATGTCAACTTGGTGGGTCTGGAAATCAGTCTTCTGGGTTGAGTCGAGCTCACCCAATTCCTTCCCTTGGTTTAGAAAGTCTTGCTGTTTCATTTCCAACTCCAAGCTCCAGCTGGACATGCTCCAATCGTCGTGAATCCAAGCTCAAAGTTGGTATCAAAAACTGTCTTCCTGCCTTAGCCAAAAACTGGCAGATTCCAGAATGCATGATAGGGTTTTGGTGGCTTTGGAAAACAACCCTCCTGACCTTATTTCCACAAACCAAATGCATCAAACTATAAACAAACATCCAAGGTTAAAATTGAGACCCTAACCTTGCATTTCCAGTGAATGGTTTGAGAGATACGGCCTTCCAAAGTACCATTCCCAAAACTGTCTCAACACTTAGGAAAATTCCAGCCTTGTTCGTATTAACTTGAACCGATCTTTGAACGATTGGTTTGAGATGATTCAAGTGTGGAATTGAGATCATATCAGAGTGTGTCTTCAGGCAGGTGGATACTAGAAACTGATGATCTCAGGGAGAAGTTGTTGGTCTCAATCACAGTTTGATTTAGCCGCCTTCCCCACCACCATATCCGCCCTGTAGCTTTTGCCAGATGAAAGAGTGATCGCCGTGAATGGCTGACGCAGCAGAATCGACTGGTGTACGATAGTTTCATTGTTGTTGGCAGAGTAGTTTCAGACACTATGGTTGGACAAAGATAAACACTGATAGATAGGGCCTCGAATCGAAACCCAGAACGATTTGACGG